ACCCAGAAGTCCAGGTCTTAACCTAATGGACTTTTGCTTTTGGGGGTTTATGAAAAAGAAAGTGTATTTTGTAACAATGGAGGACAAACAACAATTGAGGGTTAGAATAATTGAAGCTGCAAATCAATTTCGTCAGAAAAATATGAGTTTTCAGCGCATTCACTTTTCCTTATTAAAACGATACGGAATGTATCGTTGCTACATGTAATGATGCCACAAAATTCATTTGATTTGATCGTACTCAAAAGTTTGGGGGGATTTAGGGCTGCACATCCCCCTTAAAATTTTTCTGTGCATTTACATTTTGTTGTTTTTATTTTTATAAAAAATGCTTTCAGAACAAGAAAGTAACGTGTCCATTTTTATTAAAAAATGTCAGTAGTTTGGGAGATAATGCAAAGAAAAAATTTTTATTTTGTAACTTCAAAGGGCTGTAACTTTTTTTGTGTACACTTTTTGTACTACGGTAAGTTGGATTCAATCAATTTATTTTTCTCCCCGGAATGCGTGATTTAATTTATGACATACCTTTTTGAAACACCCCGTATATGTCGTCAATAACGGGGCAACAATCTCACTCATTGCAAGAATTTATTTTTAAAATATAAAATATTTCCATTGTCTTCTACAAAAATAAATGGAATCCATATTAATAATTTACAATAATTTACATACGTTTCCAGAATATGAGGATTTTCATGGCGCTGGCACGAGATACGCAGCAATTTAATTACACTGTTCTCGATTATCTTTTTATCTATCATTTATGTGTTGTTTCGTTTCATCTTTTATTTCATCTAGGTTTGTTAAAGATCATTCCCATAGGTTCCTCTCGGACTCCATGTTCGTAGTTTTTATAGTTATAAATTTCACATCAATCGTTCAATCAATATCGTTCCTCTCCATAATATAAATATCACACACTAATGCACACAATGTATATAACACTTTGCAGACTAACTTATATTGGTCACCCTGTAAACCGTAATTCAATTAACTGATTTATCAACTAATACGGATTACTGCAATAACAGTACACGCGTAACGTAATCAAACTGAATTATGCGATTCAGCTTGGTTTCTTGGTTTCTAATTGGATTTATGGGTGATTTTAATAAAATTCGAAAATAATTACAATTGGAAATAAAATTCGTTTTATAATGTTAACGAACGGTGGATGAGTAAAAGTATAAATAATTTAATGCGATTTAATTTTGTTTACTTATTAAACGGTTTGGTGACATTATGTGATAGGAAATTTCTGTTTTAAAATATATTTGGGTTTGTGCTAGTGTTTTAAATAGAAAATTTGAGAGATACGTGTACATCTAATACGTCATCATTCATCATCATATCTTATTTTCACATTTTTGCAATCGATTTTGAAAAGGCTTTTGACAAAGTCCGACATAACAAAATGCTAGAAATATTGGAAATAGCTGGATTGACGATAAATATCTACGAATAATTACAAATCTATACTAACATCAAGTGGCAAGAATAAAGGTTGAACAAGAACTGTCGGATGAAATAAATATAAAAAGAGGAGTAAGGCAAGACTGTAGTATATTGTCGCCTTTACTTTTTAACTTATATTCGGAGGAAATATTTAAGGAAGCCTTAATGGAGACAACCGAAGGAATTATTGTAAATGGAGTAACCGTCAATAATATTAGATATGCCGACGATACCTTCGTGTTGTTCTGAAGCTATTTCTTGTGGCATTGTAAATTAATTACTATGTAACTGGAATAAACCACAATAAAGATAAGAACGTTTATTGACGTTTCATTTCCACTTCGGAAATCGTTCTCAAAATCAAACAGTAATTAAACAAATTGTTTTTTGTTACAGTGAAAAATTCTTCTAATAATTAATTTTATCTGACTCATTATATTGACAATTAAGACTTATTCCCAGTTAAATAGTAATTAAGAGACTTGTGATCAGTATGGATTAAAACTCAAGGTTAACAAAATTAAATATACGATAGTTAGATAGATCCAACCGCAGAAATTAAAAGCCGAATAGAACAAGCCCGAGCTGCCTTTGTAAAAATGAGAAAAGTACTTTGCAGTCACGATCTTAGCATTGACCTTAGAGTTCGAATAATATCCTGCTACATCTTTCCTCTTCTGCTGTATGTAGTGGAAGCGTGGACTCTAACTGAGTCTATCCTTAAACGCTTGACAGCCTTTGAGATGTGTGTATACAGACGACTACTGAAAATAAGCTGGGTCGACAGAGTTAGAAATGAGGAGGTCCTTAGTCGGCTGAACCAAACAACACAACTGGTCAATATAATAAAGAAACGCAAGCTGGAATACTTCGGTCACATTATGAGACACCCTGAAAAATATGATCTTTTACATCTGATCATTCAGGGAAAGATCCAAGGTAATCGTGGTCCTGATAGAAGAAGAACATCATGGCTGAAAAATCTAAGGCAATGGTATGGAAAATCAACTACATCGTTATTTAGAGCTGCTGTCAATAAAGTCACCATAGCGAATTTGGTAGCCAACATGATATCCAACGATCGATAACGGTCATGAAACTAAAGAAGATCTTATTTTATTTATCGTATCACACTTGACACATTAACATTTAAATGTACATATAGTTTGTATAAAACATAACATAATACATATGTTTACAAACGAACATCTAACTTATTTATATAGTCTATTGACTCTGGAGTCTCCATCAGGAAATCCTCTGACCTGCCATGATAGGATCTGATGGGACACTGTTCTGTAATGTGACATATGATTTGTGGCTATCCATAGTCACAGAGTGGAAATAGTCGTTTACTCCATTTGTGCATCATGTAACCGCATCTGCGCGTTGGGTTCTGATTCGGTTAAGCATCGTCCATGTGTTGCGTGGTAAAAACCTGGTGGTATTTGTGTAATGCAGGGTAAGCTGCTATTTTGTTGTTCCATCCATTCTTGAGTCCAAGCGTTCGTGAAATTGAACTCATCTTCCACAGCAGTCTATGCTGTTTTTATTGGCGGTCGTCTGGAGCGTAAACGGTTACCGTTGGCAGCATCTATATCTTGATGGATTGGCAGATCTCGTTACTAGTATCTTTTTGTACCTACTCACTAGTGTGGGGGTATACCCGCGGGTGTGTAGTTTGGGTGGTGGAATTTAGCTCAGTACTGGGAGCAATTGCGTAGGGGTGGATTTGATGACGCCAGCAATTATCCACAAGAGCAGTATTCGGAGTTGAGAACATATTCATAGAAAAATAAAGAATATAAACAACGGAATACTTAGAATGACACTAATAAAAATAAGAAGGTCTAACAACTCGTGTTATATTTAGCCAAACTAGTAAAAAAATAAGCACGTTTATGCGAATAATTGCAAAACAATCCAAACATAAAATAATTATTATCGGATACATGAATGAAAGAATAGCAAACAAACCCTTGCTATGTAGTAAAAAGAAGGCAATGAATAGGAAAAATCGATTTAGGTGAAATTCTAGTGGAACTAGAACTGGTATGTTGTCATCATGAGTATGGCTTCTGTGTTTGTCCTATTTTCTGCTTCTTTAGGGATTGTTGTTTCTTGTCCTTCTGTGTTTAGGTTCTTAGAGTACTTTGCTGCAGTATCTATAGTTATCCGAGCCTTCGCCGTTTGCACACTTCCCTGGTTGGTCTCAAGAAATTGTGCACGGTATGGCTCTTTGGGCTACTTGTATGTTAAAAGTACTGGAAATAGCATTGCAAAGATTTTGTCAGTCTATGCAGGTTTTCGACCACCACCTGTAGGTGCATTAGTTTGTTCACTTTTCTTATTGCCTCTTTTTCTTTTCTTGATACTTGTACTTTGTGGATGGCTAGAGTTTTTTGCCGAATCTTGATTTCATCTTTTTAAGGCCGGTTAATAAATGTCTTGGTCTTCTAGTATTTTATATTTTTAAATTTACTTTTGGACGCAATCTTTTCATAACTACCATATACGGCTTGTTGTTTTATTTTAATCTTATCCTAACTTCATCTTACTTTTAACTTTGGCTTCTCATCCACCTTTGATGTTGAGTGCTCATAATTGCCCATATTTTTTCAATATATTTAGAAGTCAGAGTTGAAAGTCTAAGAAATTTTAGTAAGTTTATGGCTGCTTCAATAAATTTAGATTTGATATGAGTTGTTCTGCATATGCTATTAACGATTGCTTGCGTCTTTTTTATCATGGTTTGCATTTAGTTTTGTTTATTGCTTGTCTTCGTTTTTAAAGTTTAGTATCGCTACCTCTTTCATCTTGTTTTTAATTCAAAACTCATCAAAAACATTGGATTAATTAAAACAATAAAAAACACCAACTTCTTTGAATTAGTAAAAGTGTAAGTGTATAAATGAAGGAAAGTGCTGTGTGTATATATTGAATACGTGTATATATTGATTACAATACGTTTAAAATGACTAGAAGATTAGATAGCTAGTGGAGACGTTTACTCCTAATTCATCGTTGGCCTCTGAACTCTAAACTCTTTACCAAGAAAATATCATTTTATTTTATAGTTTACACTGTCTTGTGTGATGTTTTGACATACAGCATGATCTCGTTTACATCGTCATGTCCGTCGCCATCACCCACAAGGGGACGATTGGCACCCCCTAATCTATTTACTATATACCCTTATACTTGTTTTGTCACTTTGTGGCTTATAAATACACTATTTGTCACTAATTTTTTTATTTTTGAAAGAACACTTGCCTATAGTTCCATTATAGCCACACTATCTCGTGAAACAGCATACATGCATTTTTTTAATACTCCATTAAATATAGGCTATCTTATAATAACTAATAAGTAACATACAAAAATATAGACTGAAAGAGAAAGTAAAATATAATATACTCAAGGATATATGGAATAAACTATTAAGATGAATCACTAGATGAAACATATAAAATGAATTACTCTTAGAAATACATTACATTATATTAAAGAAGCAATATGATGTTTATCAAACATTGACTCACCTTTTCTAGGACACCGCTGTAGGGTTGTATATTAGGAGGCCCCAACCTGCTGTTGATGGATCGAGTGTCCTCCATTTGAACCTCGGTTTCATCTCCAGAGCATATACTAGGGGATCGCACTAATTCACAAGAGGATTCGTCGGAAAATAGTGTCTCTGTTCCGCTGTCGATGGTCCCCATTTTTATTTACATGTTTGAAATCTGAAACAGATATTTACAAATGAATACAATTTAAATTGATCTTACTGTTGATAATTACATTAAACAAGTGTACAAGTACCGGTAATTAGAAAGTCCAAGTCAAATATCCAAATGGCTGAAATTACTCCCAAATGACAATATAAAAACTGAATGTACTGTTCAATCAAATATATGATACCAGTGAAATTCAATTAGACTGGTTAAAATTATTTTTCCAAATTACTATTCCCATATACTAACCATTAACCAAACTTTTATAAATGTAGCGATTGTAGACTAATTAGTTTAATAAGTCCAAGCCCAAGAGCACTTTCGGTTCAGAAGATGAATTGGAACTACAGAAGTACTTTTTCTATAGAAACACTTCTTCTAGGTGTGAGAAGAAAGAAAACCCAGTTACATGTGCTTTACTGATTTTGAAAAGGCATTTGATCACGTAGAGTGTACCAAATTAATAACTGCCTTGCAGAGAATCGAACTAGATGACAAAGACATCAAACCTATTGCCAAATTTTACTGAAATCAAACAGTTATTATTAGTACAAACAACAAAAAATCGAAGGTAATCAGTATTAAACGAGGCATAAGACAGGATTGTATACTTTCTCCCAACCTTTTTAACGTGTACTTCAAAATATACTTTATATATAAACTTTGACCGATTAAGATCTGCGATTTCGGTTTAGAACCTGGCATCCGCTTCAAATCCAGCGTTTCCAGTCCTCTAGCGATACCTCAGTTAACACCTGTGCGTAGTACTGAATTTATGGCTCCAGATGCATTTTAAAGACTTTTTCTGGAAGCGAGCCGATAATTGCAACGCCTGCCAGGAACTTTTGTTCCAGAGCATCCAGGAAGGAAGATACAATTTCTTGAAGCACTGTGGACGATATGGAAGCAGCGAGATTCATTCGTGTCTAGTGTGAGAACGCACCGAGCATCAACCGGAAAACTGATAGAGAACGTGGAACCTTCACGTTGGCTCTTTACTCGAAGTGCGTTGCTTGTGGGGATTGTCTGCCGGTCGATTTTTAGTCCTCCGAACTTGTACACATTCAGAAGGAAACATGGGTAGACTACTTTCTATCCCTATTTGCTAAAGGTGACGGTAATGAACCATCAACATCAAGGGTAACGGCATATGAAGAAATAAATATTGAGGAGAAAGAGGTGAACATTGTCGGAGATTTTTCAACCACGAGATACGACGGCGTCCCGGTCCCCTTCTGCCAAATACTTTACCCTGCATAACGAGTTGAAGAATTCGATATTTTTATTCGTTCCGCATCACGTGACTGAGGTACTCAAGCTTACGTTGTTTAATTAAATTAAGCACTTCTTTTTCTTTTGTCATGCGCTGTAGGATCTCAACGTTGGTGACATGGTCCACATAAGATATTTTTAGTATCCTTCTGTATATCCACATCTCGAAGGCTTCGATTCGTTTTTCTGTGGCTTGCGTCAGCGTCCAGGCTTCAATTCCATATAGTAACACTGAAAGAACGTAGCACCTCACTATCCGCATCTTGGTTCCCAAACTGAGATCACTGCAGCACAGCAAGGATCTCAACTTAATAAATGTAGACCGTGCCATTTCAATTCTGGATCTAATCTCTTGAGCGTAGTCCCATTGTACGTTGAGGGTAGTTCCGAGGTAAGTGAATCTCTCGACTCTCTGGATCTCTTCGCTACCTGCCATTAGTGCTCCGGGATCTAAATTTGTACGGTTGACAACCATGAATTTAGTTTTATTAATATTGAGATTCAGTCCGTATGTTACGCTCACAGTTCGCTCTCAGTCTTCTTCCCGGCAAAATTGTATGAGTCGGTCTCCCCTTTCGTTTTTCTTGCCTAAGCCGTGTTGTCCGACGATGTCTTCTACACTGCTTTTGCCAACTTTGGCATTGAAATCACCCATGATGATGGTTAGCTCGTTCTTCTTGGTGTATTTTAGTGCTTTTTGTGCAATTGCGTAGAACTCCTCGGTATCCTCTTCTGGTTTTTCTGATGTTGGAGCGTAAATTTGACTGATGTTCGTATTAACGGGTCTGCTTTTCAGCTTCATCAGAATGACCCTGTCAGAGAGAGAGAGAGAGATTCCAGTATTGTGGTTTGTCGTTTCCCGCATAGTATACCATATGCTCATCCACACAGCACTGTCCCGAGCCTGGCCATCTTATCTCGCTGATTCCTATCACGTCGATATTTAGTCTTTTTTTTCTTGAATGGTGTTGTGTATCTTTCCCCCTTCAAATATACTTCGAACATTCCAAGTCCAGATTTTTTGAACGTTCCACGTGCACACTTTATCTTTATTAGTGTTTAAATATTGGTAAGGATTTCGTGGGTTGACGACCTGGAAAGCCTTACTTTTTTGTGTTCTTCCTCCCTGCCGGATCTTGGTATCCGAAGTCCATGATCAGTATCTTCTCCAAATTGGTTTACATTAACCATGATGAATGAACTAGGGACTATTTATGGAGTGGTTTCCCGTTGCCTTCCCCATCGCAGTGTCACAACCGATTGACTCATAATGTGAGTGGCGCCTGTGAGTATCTAGAATTAAGCCTGCAGGATTTTTTTTTTATTTTCCCACAGCTTTATTCCAGTAATGACATTACTGCTGCCTAATGTCATGTCCTCAGTTTATCCGCGGGATACACTACGAATATAAAAAATAGATTTGTTGTATTATGTGCAATTTTCTATGAGAATTTTAATTTTAACATTAAAAATCTGATACAAAGATTTTAAGAAAATTGGGCATCACAAACTTAAGAACTAAGGCAACAAACAAGAACAAACAAAGTCAGATGATTTCACAGGTCATGAAAATATTATAATAACTACTAAAGTCCACTTAGATCGATAGATGAAATAATATAATGCAGTGAGCAACTTAGATACTCTCAATAGAAAAGTAATGATCCAATTAAACACATACTTACGGAAGAGCTTATCATGGAATTTCAAGGGCCTCATTTTAAGTATAAGAACATCAAGATAGATCCACATGGTCTATAGTGCTAATTTACATACACATATAATTTTCGCACATTTAAAATCCGTGGCGATCCCAGCGGGATCACCACAAGACGAATATTGTAGAAATAAAAATGTGAATAAGAAATGTGAAATACTAGTTGCTTTCCTAATTGAGTCGTCTAATATCAAAGGCGGCAATCTCCTCACAAAGACATTTTCCACAGTGAGGTAAAAATCATATTGTCAACTTATCACTTACTGCTATTAAAAATTTCTTGACAGGTCGTAACATTGGATTTGCTGTAACAATTTTCGTTATTTGTAACTTGTTTTGGTTAAAATTAAATCAAAAATTCGTGAAAATAGAATGGAGATTTCCGAGTTTGATAGTCAAGTTTGGAGTTTTCCTGTTATGAAACCAAACGTAGTGGAGATTGCTGTTTTTGATATCAAGTATTGTATATATCTGATCATGGAATATTGTATTAAACAATTATTATTATACAATTATTTATAATTATGTATGTGTATATAGAATAAAGATAAAATTAAAGACAGTTGTAAATTGACAAAAATGCTTTATTCTCTACAAGTTATATAAAAAATTCTTCACTATTGTCTAAGGCACAGTAACTGTTCTCATTTGGAGTATTGTTCTCAGAAGTTTGAGATTTGATGGGTGTATGATATTTCCAAAATAACATAATCTTTTATCTTCCTTCCAGTTTTCCCCGTAAATGTTTTTTTAACAAATTATCGACATCCTTTAATTTTAAAGGATTCGGAGTCACTAATCGGGGTTGGATTACTGTTGGTTTAATATTAGCAGGTGTTACGCCTTTTTATAGAACTCCTTTGGGTTTACCGACTTCTATTCTGTAAGATACTTCTCCTTGCACTAATATATTTTCTCGCTGAGATTTAGTAAATATGAAACGTTTTTCTGGATTAAATTGAAAATGCCATGCACTAGGACGTTTGGTACAAGTTTCCGTGACATTTTTCCAGTCGTATACAGGCACATCTTTTTCAACATTAATTACGCTGGCAATTGTTTAAAAACACTGGTATATTCCGCAGGTGAAATAATAGTATTTTTTTTTCTTATATCTCTCTCAATTAATCCTGCTACCCGATCAGGAGGCATAAAAGAGTGACCAACCACAGGGAATATTAATTCCACTTTTTCGATAGATGACCTAGTCTCATGGAACCATTTGTTAATCATAGTAACAACAATCGTGTTTTTATTTTGGCCTCCACATCCATCCGCTATCAACCTTAATATCTTTGCATCTCCAAAATTTGTCGCATTAAGTCTGTGGTAAACTGCTGAGCTTACTTCATTGGATCCCTTGCTATGCACATCCTCAGTCCAATAATATGAAAATACATTTTGTTGACTCAGTTGGTCTTTGGAGGAACCTTGAACCATTAAAAAGTTGTAAATATAAAGTTGCCTGCTGTAATATGCTGTTTGATCCGCCACTTTTGGAAGTACTAGGTTTTTTTGAAAATCAAAACTGAAAATAATAACATTCTCGTCTTTTTCTTTAAGATATCTGTAAAAAGCTTGTGCTTTTAACGAGTGAACTCGTTTCTCTGTAATAAGCTCTTGTTTTTTAGCACCATCACATTCTTGTTTAATTTTTTTCTGTCAAGCTTATACAGGTGGAGCAGGCATCCTTTTGGGTGTACCAAATCCAATATTAAAGTTGGTATTAAATATTTTTCTAAAATATGATGCCTTTACACGTAACTCAACATTTTCTGATAGAGATTCTTGGTACATTTTATATAACTTTTTCACATTTAAATCACACGGCAAATATTGTCTTTGCTGAGTTGTACCTCTACAGTAGTGCGACTCTATGCATTTAAAAGAAATAATAAAATTTATGATTGAATCTTTTTGGCCTGAAAAAGTGTTGATTTTCTGTCGCCGCCTCTGTTCTCCCGAGGAGTTCCTCCAGACTTGACAAACGTATTCATAA